CCACGTTGTTCGCCCGCGTTTCCGTTCGTGTTGGATCTTTGCTCTTCTTTTGTAGAGTGACGTTCTGGTAATCCCACATCTTCGTTCGTCGTCTATCGTTGTCTGCATTCTCCGTCCCTGCACATTTGCCCCCCATGCGTTCCCACGCACGAACCGGCCTCATCGCCGCCCTGGCCCTAGCAACGCAACTCCTCGTCGTCGTATCCGCGCAAGAAGACCGGCCCAAAGGAAACTTCCGCCAATGTCTCGAAGTCAGCCCCGAATGCCCCGTCTTCGCAACGCTCTACGGGTACCGCCCTAATCTAGGCGCCAACGCCTTCCTCTGCGCCCTCTTCGGCATCCTCTGCATCGGCACGCTCGTCGTGGGCGTTCTGAGCCGCACATGGACCTACACTGCCGCACTGGCCGTCGGAACTTTCCTCGAAGCAGCGGGATATGCAGGCCGTGTTATCATGAATGACAACCCATGGAGCGAGTCTGGATTCAAACTGCAGATTTGCTGCTTGGTTCTGGGCCCGAGTTTCGTTGCTGCCGCGATTTACCTCACGCTCAAGCACTTTGTTCTGTACTGCGGACCTCAGCATTCGCTGCTCAAGCCGCGCCTCTACCCGTGGATCTTCATCGGCTGCGATTTCGGTTCTATCGTTCTCCAGGCTTGCGGTGGTGGTATGGCGGCTGCGGGTGGCACAACGAACAAGGCGCTCATCGACGCGGGTAACAACCTGATTGTCGCTGGTATCGCGTTCCAGGTCGTCACCATGGCGGTCTGTGGTGGGCTCGTCATCGTCTACGTGTTCCGGTACCGCAAGGCGAGGAACCAGCAGGCCATGGGCGAGAAGAGCTCGTATGAGATGGACAAGGAGACGGGAACTGTACGGTTGGCTAAGATCAAGCTGTTTGGCTGGATGATCGTCCTTGCGTACACGACTGTGCTTATCAGGTGTATCTACCGCTTGCCCGAGATGGCTGGTGGATGGGGAAACTCGCTCATGAGGAATGAGAAGGAGTTCCTACTCCTCGATGGAATGTAAGTCTCATTGATCCGAATCTTTGCCGCAAAGACAGAATACTAATACATTATTCAGGATGCTGGCTATTGCTTGCACGGTGCTGACCTGCTTCCACCCTGCATACTTCTTCCCTCCTTTCGCTGCTTTCCGCAGCCGCAAGTAGCTTTCTTCTTTTTCGTCGACAGTCTTAGATGTATAGATGTTTGCTTCTGTTGCAGCGGTCACTCCATATCATATTAGCGTTACGACCTTGATAGCTTTTCCAGCATAGCGAGATTTATTATAGACAAGATTTTGTAATTTCACATGACATGAACTATTTCACTACCCAGAGATACTATGCAAGGTGATGCTCATTGTTCCCGAAGAGTAACATCTTCGCCCTTCGTGCGTGTCACGTTTTACCTAACTACACAGTCCCCCACCTCTCAGCATACCGATCATTCCCCTCATCAACATTCCTCTCATACTCACTCCGATCCGCCACATACTGTGCCGTCTCCTCGCCAAATACATCCGCTATCCACGCGAACGTCACATCAATTCCAGCCGAGATACCTGAGCTCGTCCAGATATTGCCATCCACGACCCAACGAGCCTTGGCAACCCACTCAACATTCGGATGTTTGGCTTTGACCTTGGCATATATAGTAAGTAACAAGTCTGATGTGAAGCGAGGAGATGGAAAGTAGGTTCACTTACATCGCCGAACGCGCGCTTGTTAGTCGTAGCCCTCCTACCGTCTAACAAACCAGTCCTAGCAAGAATCTCACTACCCGTACAAACAGTAAGAACCCATTTGACGCTTCCCTTGCCGCTCAAATCCAATCTCTCGAGATACTCGACCTGTGGCTTCATCCACTTGTCGCTATCCGGTCCCCTCGATCCCAGCCCACCTGGGAGGAGCAGCACCTCCAAATCATCCGGTGCGTTGTCGAATGTGTGAGTTGGCACTATGGATTGTGAGAACTGGGAGCCTTGCTTGTCTTGTAAGCTGTTCTGGGTTGGCACTGGGTCTAGTGTTGCGGCTATGGTGCAGAGCGTGAGAGGGTGGTCGGCTGAGAGGATGTTGAGGGCATCTAGGGGGCCGGCATAGTCGAGGAGGTGGAAGCCGGGGAAGATGACGACTCCGATCTTCGAGGGGAGGGAGTTTGCTGGCATGTTGAGGTATGGAGCGGGTGATTGTGTTGATGGGGGCAATTGTTAACAAAGGGTCGGTCAGGCAATAATGTATCGATGTAGGTATTTCTACTGTTTTCGAGATAGTTTGCTATAGGCCTGAATGTAGTGGTCTTTGTTGTAGCGTGATCATGTAGAGTAGGGCATTGGTAATCGGCCGGGCTTGGTACCTCGGTGGGGGAACCTTGGAAGCGGAGTAAGTGGACGCCTTAGACGCTAACATCCGCGCGCCGATTGATCCAGGGGCCATTTTTGTGCTACAAAACATAGTGATAATAGCTCCACGGCCAGTAACATTGTTCTACAACATGTATCACAGGAACACGAGATGAGCAAGTTCAACGACCGCAATACGAGTACACCAATGCGAGGAGAGCGAATAGTATTGTCATTGAGATCTACACAACACCGTTCATGTGTACGCCCTGAGCATCTTGTTGCTGTACCGTAAGCATCTGCCTTGCCCGGTCAATTCTCTCCTTTGTCATGATGTAGCTCTTGGGGATGTCTCCCTTCTGAACCATCTCCTCGTGCACAGCGGTCAGATCCTTGCCGTCGCTTTCGCCCAGTACCATGTCGACAACTGCCTTGCCGCATAATGTACCATTTGGCATACCGTGTCCTGTGTATCCGCCAGCCAGCCATAAGCCGTCTCTATCGGGCACCTTGCCCACCCATGGATGGTCGTCACGAGAATATCCCATGATTCCAGTCCACTGTGCCGCAGCCTTAAGCTCATGTAAGCCCTCAGTTTGCCCTCCCAAGTTCAAGACCTTCAACAGCGCACCGCGGAGATACGCAGCGGAGCCTTCGTCAATCACGCTGTCATCCGAGATGCCTATGCTTGGGAAGTTTCCAGCTCCGCGGCCGCCACCAAACATCAAGTGACCACTGGGATTTGGAACGCCCTCGAATGGGCGCTGGATGAGATAGTCGTCGTTGTTCTCCGGTTGACCTAGAGCTCCAACCATGCCGTACGAGTCGGGGAGAAGGGTCGATCCTTCAGGTGGGAAAAGGGCTGACATCTCCCCACGACAGGGCACAATGAGATCGGCGAAGTGAGGTAAGATGGCTGATGTGTAACCGTTCGTTGCGAGGATGACGGTCTTGCTGCTAATGGTACCGCGGGGTGTGTGGAGGGTGTGCGTGCCATCTGATGAGGTAATCTCGGTGACGGGAGTCTTAGTCTGTAGGTTGAGCCGGCCAGTCTTGATGAGCTTCTTGAGAACAAATGTGACTAGCTTGTACGGCCATAAACTCGCAGCTCCTTCACTCAGCGTCGCTCCGACACAGTCGGGCGAGACGCGATGCTTCTTCAGCTCCTCCTCGTCCTTGATAATGGTGACGTGGCGTGCGATCTCGGGAGCGATCTCCCGGAGATGCTCGATCTCCTTCTCAGCCTCCTTCATCGCTCCTTCAGTCCAGAATGTGCGGCAGCCGGTAACATCTCGCCACTCGCAAGGGACGCCATTATCTTGGATGTAGGACTTGACTGCGGCGACGTTCTTGAGTTCGAATTCAGCGACGTCGCTGCTTCGGTCGAAGAGGAGAGGTTGGCAGTGACCACCGTTCTGTTTGCGCGACCGTCAGCAAGTGTGCGCCATATGTTTTGTTCGACTTGAGTACGAAGAATAGACGCGGTCGTCTTACCCTTCCTGTAGCGCCCCAGCATGCCTCTCGGGCCTCGAGCAGGACAACACTCTTGCCAGCAGCCCTTTCGTCCTCCGAAAGATATCTCGCAGCACTTGCGCCGGTTATACCAGATCCCACGATAACGATGTCAGCCTCGGCGGGCAACTCCTCTGTCGTACAATGACCCAGTAGAAACTCATTCGGCTCGCTGTGCCAGAAAGAGTCTGACGAGGTAGGCGTCGGAAGCGTGGCGCGTTCGTGCTTCATGGTGGGTTCGAGGATTGGGGAAGGCAGCGGAGGGAGGTTTGGAGAGTCGGGACGGATTGCGATCAACTCTTAAATACGTGAACTGTTAGGTGCCAGCACTGAAGAACAAGCCGATGCGGTGTGACGAACGATGTTCCCCGGGTTCGGAATGCGTATATTTGTACCGAACGATGATCAACCTCAGGGCGGCGTGATTGAGGGGTGGTGGGTCATACTTCGGGATTCGACGCAGCAGATTAGGCTACCTGGGGCATCATGTCGTTACTCCGATGATAGGACATGGCGACGAGGGGATTCCGAATAACGCGTCTCAAATGTCGATATCATCGTCGCGTGTTTGTCGCGAGCATCGCAGAAGCACAGAGCACAGGAAGACATGAAGGTACTCACTGCAGCGGTGAGATCGTTTGGTACCTGGTACATGGCATGGCAGGTGCGGGACCGGAGCAGACGCCGCGAGTCAGTAGGGCTGATTATGTAAAGGAGCTGCGCAAATCCACTCCGAACTCTCTGACATGCCATACCATCTTTACTAGCATAGAACGAGTCTGTTGTTTGGTTTTGGTACCAAAGTATGGTTCAACGTGGAGCCGCGCCACTCTAGCATGTGAGCACATCTGACAAACATGGCATCACGGCATGCGACACATGGCGTTCGGTATGGTAACGTCAAATCGCATGCTTAAAGCTAATGTACAACCAAGGTAATGACAGTAAGAACGCGAGTGAAGATAGCGACAACAACGCCGCCATCTGCCCAGTTGCCCAGCTCGCCTCCCAGTAAACCCGCTAACCTCGAAACAAATCCGTTCAGCCATGTCATTATCCTCCTTCGTAACGTTCGTCAAACGCTGCCAGACACCCGCTAGCGAGCGTCGTACCGCCAGCAGTACTATCAGCCAACCATACTGCTTACTTCCGTCGTTGAACCAGCTCTTTTGCCGAAGCAGTCAGCGAGTACCCGTTGAACAGCCAGTCGTTCGAATGCCGTCCTTTCCATGGGTCGCTTCCGCTTGTGCTTCGCCGACCTGCAGCCTGTATGCTAGGTCTGTCACCCTGTACCGGTCCTGCAGTTGGTCGTGTCGGGCTGATAGGGCTTGTAGCGGAAGCATGTCTTTGTGAGTAAGGTGCTTGCTCGGGTGGCATGACCATGGGCGACTTGGAGCGTTTGCGAGACGTGGCTCCACGAGAGCGACTCCGTGAGCGACCGCGGATGCGTGCTGAAATGGCACCGAAGAAAGACGCCTCGGTCGGCGAAGCTGTTGCGCGAGCCGTGGGTGATGATGGAGAATAGGGTGGAGATGTTTGACCCGACGACGACCGTGACTTTTGTGAATCGACAGTGTTTGTCCGGATTGGTGGCGGCATGGGCTGGTTGTGGGAAGTCATGTCGATGGCCTCACAAATAGATCAACAGATGTTTGCAGAGTCGTATTCGTCTCTACGTATGAGAGTAGTAGCGTATTGCAGGCGAAGATGACGAAGGATGACTGCAGAGGCCAGGTGTGAGGCTCAAAGGTCAGGCTGTCAGCACACTATATAATACCTACGCCGCAAAACATCCTCGTCATTTCCTTTCATGTGTGTCCTCAGCACATACTTGGCGCATATGGCAGCTCAATCAAGATGTCGGTGACTTGTTACAATCTCGCAACATGGCGTCCAATCAGACGGCTTAAACTTCAGGCGGGGCCTCCAGTTCGCCATGTTCCTCAGGTGAGCTCACCGACTCCCCACTTCGGAGCGAGCGTCTGAAGCCCCGCAGTGCACTGCAAAGCCAACGCATCCAGCCGAAGAGCCAGACCATCAGAGGCTCCGATGGCGATATAGGGCTAGCCGCAAGCCAATCAATGCAGATGATATGCCTCTGAACCATGATTTTGGGGTCACCGGTTTTGAGGGGTGCGAAGGCTTGTCCCCGCCAGAGTGGTTAGGTCGCGCTCTTTGGAGCTTGTCTGTGCAATCAATGTGCCAGCTACTACTTCTCTATCCAGCACGCTGGTAACGTCGGAGTAGAGCGAGATCATCAATAGCTGTTACGCAATGTTGCGTTGGACTGACACGGAGCTGCAAAGTCCCGCAGGAATCCGTGTGTCCTCCAGGACGGCAACGTGCGTGTTATCAGTCCAGTATGCGAGCTGAACTGATATGCATGTCTCATGTCAAAAAACAAGCTCTCGAGTACCAAGCAATAGCTCTAGGCCTGTCCACTTTAATGGCCTGTTGCTACCTAATCACCTACAGGTCAGAAGCGAGATGGTGCTTGATAACAAAGGCAGCACCCCGCACTGTGGTGTCGCGCCCAAGAGTTTAGCCAGCTCTAGGCCTGCAGCACACACGGGTTGAAGGTACTTTGTAGAGCACTATTAGAATATCCCAATAGAGTTTCAGAACCAGAATTATCAAAAAAAAAAGTTAGTCCGCTGCAGATATGTCCCAAAGGCGGATCTGGACTACGCAAACGCTAAAAAAGTAGTCAACGTTGCAATCGTGAGAAGGAGCTGTGCATCCTCCGGGAGCTATTATATGTTAGTGATATGTTGGTGATGTAGGATGTGGAATAGAACGTACTCGAACCCGGGCCAATTGCTTGGAAGGCAATTATCCTACCGTTGGACCAAGAATGCTTGATGGAAAATCGAGCAAATTTAACATCTATATTCTTAACGGCAATGTCGGGACTAATGAGTGATACGTCTAGACACGTCGAACATCGCATTGCTGGAAGCTGCAATTGAACCCCGCTCTCGCTTCGACTCAGCTTTCTCCATTTGCTAAACGCCCCACTTCATGCAACACCAATTCCCGCTCGCGAAGTCTTGCCTTGTCAATAGTTAGCTCCGTGTATCGTTCGGATTGGCAGCCGTTCTAAAGTCTGATGTGGGATCCCTGAAGGGAACGAGCAACGAGTGGACATCAACAACCAACGAGTCTCCACTTTCTCAGCTCAACCACATTGGAACCATCGCATATTCTATACGCAGACACTAGGTAATTTGATGCAAGACTTCTCATTGAATCCTACATACACATCTACTGACTCGATCATCCCCCTCTAACTACTTCTCGATACATCTTTAACACAATGAAATTATTTACAGGAGAACAGGAATCTACTGCGCAGCGCGGCGCTGGCTCATTCCACTACGCCTGGAGTAGCCAGTCTGGGTCTTGCCGTAGCCCTCAGCAGGGGCAGGGGTGTACGCGGCAGGAACAGCAGGAGTAGCGGAAGGCTTGTCGCTCTCGCAAGGGGTGGAGGTGGCGCCAGCGGGGTATGCGTTCTCGTAGACAGGAGTGGAAGTCGGTTGGACGGGAGTCGGGGTCGACTGTACAGAGGAAGAGCAAGGAGTTGAGGAAGCCTGGCTGTAGACCTCAGTGCTGGTGGACGAAGACTCGGCTGGGCTGGGGGTAGCCTGGCTGTAGACCGGGGCGCTGTAGACGGATGAGCTGGCGGGTGTGACGGATGCGGTGCTGCTCTCGCAAGGAGTAGAGCTGGCGCTCGCGGGGTAGTGCTCTACAGGAGTGGACGCAGGGTAAGGCTTGGTAGAGATGGTGGAGAGAGTCGACTTGACGTTCTCGCCGTAGCCGTTGTTGCCGTTGTATGAGGGCTTGGAGTAGACAGCAGCGGGGGTAGAAGCGCTGTAGCTAGAGGACTTGGCAGGTGTGACGGATGCGGTGCTGCTCTCGCAAGGGGTAGAGCTGGCAACGGCAGACGAATCAGTGCCATAGGCAGGAGCAGAGCTGACGGCAGCGGGGGTGGAAGCGCTGTAGACGGACGATGAAGCAGGGGTAACGGAAGCAGTGCTGCTCTCGCAGGGCGTGGAGCTGGCCATCACTGATGAATCAGTGCCGTAAGCAGGGGTGGACTCCGGGTGTGGGTACTCCTTGGTGGAGACGGTGGCCATGGTAGACTTTCCGTTGTTGCCATAGGCGTTGCCGCCGTTGTTGCCATAGGCGTTGCCGCCGTTGTAGGATGGCTTGGAGTAGACACCGGCAGGAGTTGAAGCTGGGTAAGACTCCTGAACCGAAGATGAGGAGTGACCCTTAGCTGGACCGGCAGGGTAGGAGGGGTAGTTGTTCTCGCCCTCAGTAGGCTTCTTGGGGTAAGAAGGAGTGGAAGCTGGGTATGCCTCGTGGACTGAAGATGAGTGTCCGTTCATGGGACCGGCGGGGTACGAGGGGTACGAGGGGTACTTGTTGTCACCCTCAGTAGGCTGCTTGGGAGTAGCAGATGGCTTGTTGTGGCCGTAAGAGTTGTCGTGAGCGGGAGCAGAGGCAGAGGTAGGGTAGGCTGCATGACCGCTGCTCTTCGCAGGTGCTGAGGTAGCCTCGTGCTTCTTGGTCTGCTCGTACTCGCAAGTGTAGGCTTGTCCAGGCTTGGTGATGGTGACAGTCTGAGCTTCATGGTGGTAGACACCCGCCTCGTAGTGCTTAGCGGTGGGGTATGCGACCTCGGTGTCGTGGTCGTAGACGGTGGTGGTGGGCTTCGCGACCTCGTAGTTGCCGGTGGTGGAGGCATAGATTGTGGTGTGCTTGATCACTGTCTCGGTGACAGTCTTGCCACCGTTGACCTTTGTCTCGTAGGCACCGTAAGCGCCCGTGATGTAGCCAGTCTGCTTGGCTTCGATGTACTGGCCTCCGTAGGTGCATGTCTCGCCAGCCTTCGCAGTCTTTGTGGCCTCAGCTGGGTAAGTGACGGGGTGCTCAACGGTGACGTCCTTGCTTGGGACAGTGTAGACACCAGGCTTCTCGTAAGTGGTGACCTCAGGCTTAGGAGTGCCGTAAGAGTACTCGTGGACGTACTCGGACCACTTTCCGCCCTTGTACTCCTTGACGTTGACGGGTTGCTTCTGCTCGCCCTCCTTGTAAAGGCCGGAACCGGGGTATCCGGGAAGTGCGTGAGGACCGAGTTGGTTGTATGGGACCGACTCAATCTTCTCGTACAGCTCGTACCAGCAGCCGTCAGTGCCGTTCTTAGGGGCGAGACCAGTGGGCGCCGCGTAGCCGCCTGTTGCAGTAGCGGAGTGGGTGATGGTCTTCTTGGTGTGGTAAACAACAACGGGCTGCGCGGTCTTGGTGATCGTAGCGTAGTTGTTGTCGTAGTCCTTGATGACAGTTGATACGTAGGCATCCTCATCCCACTTGGCGCAGTCCTTACCACCATAGGCGGGGGACACGCAGGTGGGGTACGGCTGATGTTGAGTGGTCACGGTGACCGGCTGCTTGCCATAGCCGGGCACGATAGTCGTGTATCCGATGGGCTTCGCGGAGGTGCTCGGCTTGACGACGGAGCTGGACTCTGCTTGCGCACCGTATCCACCGTAGGCCTCGTGGGCAGCGGCAGTGGCAACGAAGATGAGTGCGTACTTCATGGTGATGATGAGTGTTGTTAAAATTAGATATTAGATGTAATAAGATCGTGTATAACGAATGACTGGGGTGAGATAATATAAGAAAAAAGAGTGTAGGAAAGAGGTGTTGATGATTAGAGAGAAGATGTGGATGAGTATATGAACTGCGAGACACCGTCGTCCATATATACTCACCCATTGCGTAGATTGGTCTGAGAGACACACGCCCCTGAGATACTGGGACGGTAGAGTCTGCCGCTCGCTTACTTACTTGGTACCCTGAATCCGAGGGTGTTGAGCTCTAGAATGCGACACGTGCGCAATGCATGAGCATACCGTTCGTTAGAGGTCGACCCAAATGTACATACGGATACGAAGTACAAGCGTCGGAGTTATACAGTACCATTTGGGCCGATCTATCGTGAGCTGCACGAAGTCTGAAAGGAAGAGCATTGTCGAGATCTTGAACGCAGTCATGCAGAAGTCCTCTAGTTGACACTTGTGAGACTCTGCCTTACTAAAAGTTCGCTCACCCAGTTTTCAAACGCACTTTTATGCATGCTGAACCCTTCAACGGCGGACCAGGAGAAGGAGTAAGGGTACTGTTTGAGTGGGCCTGTCCCGACTTGGCAGAAAGCTTGATACCCCGGCATACGCTGTCAAGGGTGAGCTTGTCTGTAGACGTTTAAGGTAAGAATGGTACATGTGCTTCCAGTATCCAATAAGATCTCTGTGTCTATTTTAACACTTCATTCTAGACCTTGTGGCCATTGTGTGTCCAATAGCGTGGTTCTCGAAAAGATCCCGTCCTGTTGACGCACGTTCAGTTCGGCTGATCATTGACCGTCAGAGCGAAGCTCGTGTAAGTCGTCGAGCAGTAGAGTCAGCTTGCGGAAATAGAGTGGATCGGAATGTGAGTAGTGAAGCAACCCTTGCGGTGAACGAGCCTATACACGCCTCTCGATAGTACTTCATGTGTTCCTATCCCCAGCATACCAGAGGCGGTTCATGGAACGTATAGATATGCCGTACGCTGTTCTTGCATTCTGCCCGACTGCTCATGACCCATATGTTCGTGGTGTTCGCCAACGAACAGACCACTTCAGGGGCTGCGCCACATCTGCTCTCGCACTAGCGCTTCCTCTTTGGTCGAAATAGCGCCCAACCATCCGTACACGGAGATATCAGACCAGCCACGCGAAGCTTTGAAGACGTCGCAAAGTGGGCCCTGAAGCACGTACTTGATCCACTACACTATGAAAGCTTCATAGACATGCAGATGCAAGCTCAACGGGTCGACGCAGTTGTGACAGTAGGATTGAGGTTACGACCATGACACGTTCGACGAAGGAAGCCTGGATGAAAGTTGTTAATGCAGCACGTCGTGTAGACGTCGCATATGTTCTCGGTGTTACTTTTGATCAGCAACAAAGTCTTTCCCATTTACCCTACCAATGCTCTCGCAGCTCCAATCGGCCTCAACGGACTACACTGTCATTCAAGCCCGCTCCCCAAGCTCTCTTCGTATCCACCATGGTTAGTATCAGCTCCGTCCACTGGGATTGCTGCACATATTGACTGTGTAGCGAGCTGCGCGAGACTTGCAAGCCACCTGCGATCGACAATTAGAGACTATCAGCTACTATATCTGACAGCCTAGGAGGAGCCAAGGACCAAGGCAAAGTCAGTGTCGGACGTATCGCAACAGGGGAGCATGGTCATGTTCGAGCCATCTAGGCAAGTCGAAAGGGTATCTGTGTTGACTGTTGGTGATCAGCATGCTGCAGACAAAGCCATTCCAGGCTCCATCAGCTGCGACCCGTCGGAGCGAGCGTTCGCTGCCCATCCACTCTTCCAGATATCCGACTCCACATGTCATAGAGAGTCCTTTGATGATACGATCAACGTACTAGGACGCTCGAGATATTCTTGATATTTTCGGCAAGGGCAATGAGAGACTCGGTGCTACCTGCTATCCCTTCTTTCGACCATATCGAGCCCGTCTCCCGAAGCTGAAGGGGTACCGACGCGACGGCTCAAGATTAATGAGTAAAGAATCATCAACGAAAGACGGTCAGCCTATTGTGTGCTCTACCGGTTGTATATCCTCGTTGCCGGCTCCGGAAGCAATTTTGACCCGGAATGAGACGCGACACATAGCTAATTGCTATTCACTTTGATGGGCTTGGCGATGTTGACGTGCCATGAGGCTGGAGTTTCAGACAGTGTCTTGCAGTGTTTAGAGATCTGACACCATTAGCGGCTTGGCAGAACCGCTGCAGCAGGCAGTGGCAGCCGAACATTGCCTTGACGCAATCAGTATCAACACCTCCATCAAACGGTGCTCCCACATTCACTCAGCTTGCCACTGCCTACAAAAATGCCATGTCAAATTTCCGCGTTCCCGCTTAGCACTACTACTACTAGGTCTATTCTAGCCTGTTCTAACCTTAATATTTAAGTATATAAGCTATCTTTTTTTTATAAAGTAAAACTATAGTTTAGTTAATAGTACTTTAAGTATATTTTTATAAACTATAAAGCTTTTTTAGCTATATTATAGTTATATAAGTAGTAGTAAGTATAAAAGTAATACGCTAAACTAATTTTTTTTTTTTTATTTATTATATTACTTAGTTATAACTACTTTTAATAATTATATTATTTTACTTATTAATAGTAAAGCTACTAAAAGTACTATAATTAATTTCTTAACTATATTATAAAAAAAGTAAATCTTTATTTATAAAAAGTTAAACTTTACTTTTTTTAATTTTATCTAAAAGGCTAAAGCTTAGTTTATACTTCTTATTACTAAAGAGTAAAAAGACTTTTAAAATAGTAAGTACTACTCTAAAAGCTATAAAACTAAGTTAATAAGTATAGCTCTAAATAATAGTTTTAGCTAAGATCTTTTTTAAGCTTATTTAATAAGGCTAAGTAAGCTATTAAAAAAAAATAAGGCTTAGACTAACTATAAGAAGTAATACTTTAACTTAGATTATATACTAAAAAAAATCTAGAAACTATAAAACTAGGTATAAAAGAATAGTAAAAGTAAGCGTAAGAGTATATAACTATAGGTGCTTTCGCATAACTAGGTTTTAGCCCTTAGCTAAAACAGGGTTCCTGCTCAGCAGCTAATCTTCCTTGTCAGGTGCTGTGCCGCCCTAGCCGGGTGGCTACTACAGACCAGTAACTACCAAAATCGCGTGAGCTTCACTGTGATGTGTGCTCCTAGCCTCCAAGCCTACGCATACTCAATAGCTAAAGGCGTCGACATACGTACGCGTTTCATCTTGCAGCGACGCGAGGATAAGCACTTAGCTGCATTAGCTGAAGGCGCAGTCGGCGAAACCTCCGCTAAGCGCGATTGGCATCATGTCAGGCGTCCACGAGTCTGCCCTGGCAGTAGCAGCCACCTTAACCATGACATCTCTCGAAATCGTCAAACCCCAAGATTCAATTTCAATCTCGAGATTCAAAATCGCCAACACGTGTTTCTTTCCTTAGCCACTTCCTCCTTATCGATGCATTCAGCCAATCCCATATGACGCTCTCCTCCCCTCTTAACCACAGTCGTCCCGCTTTTGCGCTACTCACCAACGCGCACTCACCATGAGCGAAAGCAGGCGCAGTTCCATATCCAGCGTATGGTCTGACGACAACCAAGCCCCGTGTTCGCGGTATTCCCTTCCAAGAGCCTCTTCTCGATTCTGGAAATACGCCACATTGCTTATTCTAGGCTTCGCTGCTATTGTCCTCTTCTCGACAAATTCATCGGTTTCGAGCAAAATCCTACCAACACATGTCCCGCATCTTGGTTCCGTTCCGGCCTCGTCTGCACCCGCGCTGTCATCACAGTCTTCCCCACGCATCGGCAAAGTAACGGCCTCATTCGGGCCGGAAGATCCCGTCTACGAAGCCGCCATCGCTTCTCACCAGGTTCACAATGACCTGCACGGATACCCTGAGTTCATACTCCGTGAACGCATGCTCCCCGGTCTTTGGTCCAAACACGCCTTCCTGCTCGCGATTCTTGGGGCTGAACTTGCTAAGCCAGCTGCGGAACGACTGGAGTGGCTTTTCTGGCATGATCGCGACACCATCTTGATGAATCCTAATGTTCCGTTGCAAGTCTTCTTGCCCCCAGATCAAAAGACCAATTTGGTGGTGACGAATGATCGGCATGGTCTGAATAACGGCGTCTTCCTCATCAGAGTAAACGAGTGGGCGATCCGTCTCTTCTCGGCAGCATTGAGCCTGAAGGAGTATAATCCTGATATACAGTTGAAGTATAGTGAGCAAAGTGCTATGGAAGAGACTATCAAACGTGTATGTGGAAAGCTCGTTCACGTTTTACTTACTGCATCAACTAATCATCGTGCGACTCACAGCCATACTTCTCTTCCGCCGTTGCCTACGTGCCCCAAAGGTGGTTCAATGGCTTCCCACCAAATCCAGACAAGCCTGGCAAACCATCACTAGCCCGTCCTGGATCTCTACTCATCCACTTCGCTTCAAATCGAGACGGAAAGCGTCCGGAGAGGATGGCTTACTGGAGCGATATAGCGCGGAGTAAGGCGAGTGAGTGGACGAAAGCGTTCAATGAGACGGGCTACCCAGCTGAGATAGAAGAGTATTGGGCGAGGTTGGGTAAGGGAGAGGATGTTGTGGCTTTGTGTAAGGACATTGGAGGCAGGGTCTGGAGTTGACGATCTTTTCAGCGTTGGTGCCGTGGTTGTAATCTTCCACATGAGTAGATCGATAGGTCTTCTGATTCAAACGAACATCAATAAAACAACAGGGTATAACCTTCCCCTTTCCATACCGTCCTCCTGAACGCCTAACCAAAGTCATCCACCTTCTCCTACTTGACACTCATTTCCAAACCCCCATCTCTGCCCTCGTTGACACGCATGATACTGCTCCGCATAGCCGACCTCGTGTTCTCCTTATCACTATCCCCACCTCTCTCCAGTCTCTCCCAGAGACCACCATTACCCGGCGGCCCCGAACTG